AAGATGTGTTCCCAGCTTCTTTTTTTTTAGTTTAAACACTTTAAAATTTGGGCTTTTCCTCCCTCGGGCCTTTTATTTTGTGCCGAGGGGGAGTTTGGGATCCGCTGCCTCTCCAACGTTTGTTTGCAGGGGAAAAACCCCCCAAAACCCCCCAATCTTTTGCCCAGAACAGTTTTCCCGTTCCAGCAGCGCCATTTTCCGCTGGCTCTGGTGGGAATTTGGGAACGAAAAAGGGGGGAATGGTCAGTGGGAGAGGCCGTGGGGGGTCAGGGCCACGTCACCGACCCGGAGCATCCCGGGAAAGGCTCCGGAGGGGGAGGGAGGAACATCCCGCACTTGCCTCTGCTCGTGCCCGAATTCCAGTCTCCATAACCTAGAAAAGAGCCCAAAGCAATCAGGGACAGTCCCAGGGCCCCAAATCCAGCAGTTTTCCACCCAATCCAGCAGGAATCAGCCCTCCGATGTCGCCCCAGCCCCACAAAAGCACCTTTTGGGGGCAACAAAAAACCCCCCAGGGTGGAATTCGAAGCCGAGCTCTTGGGAAGAGTTTCCAGGGCTGAGGGTTTTGGGAGTGGAAACGACGGGAAAAGCCCAATTCCTGCCTAAAATGGGGGAATCAGGACGCTTTGGGGAAGTTTCATCCCATTCCTGCCACCCCAGGACCGACATTCCCGTGCCCTGTCCTGGCTCTCCTTGTCCTGGGATGTTACCTGGAGGTTCCTGGCGGGATTTTGTCCTTAATTAGTGCCCCCCCCCATCACAAAAATGAACTAATTAATTAATTTCCCCTCTCTTTCCCCCAACGTGTCACCACTCCAGGCTGAGACATTCCATTCCCATGGAACACAGAGGTGAATCCCTGCCCCAGGGGAAGAGAGGCCGCTCCAGAAGCCAGAAAAGGAATAAAAATGGCAAAATAAAGGTGGGGAGGGAAAGGCCAAATGACATTAAATGGGCACAGAGGGGAGGGACAGGTGGGGGTTGGAGTGGAACTGGGGGGGCTGAGTGGAACTGGAGTGGGAAACAAATCCAGGATCTGGTAGGAATTGGGTCTGGTCCCAGTTCCATCAGGAATTGGGTCTGG